AGATTCCGCAACGAAACGGAATTATTAAGATTTCGTCATTGAATGGGACATTCGGCTGTGTACGATGCGTAGTATAAATGTGAAAGTTTCCGAATAAAATAATAGACTAAATTGTATTACAAACATCTTGTATATAAAATGCTCGTGTTAGAATGTTAGTTACCATACTCCTCCCAGACGGCTTGATCGATTTTTATGAAATTTTATATACATATTCAGTAGGTTTTGAGAATCCGCTACTATCTATTTTTTATATCCCTAAGTGGTAAGGGTTACCCACCCTTACATATATATTTTTTATTTTTTCGACATTTTATTATTATTTAGGATTGAAAAATATATACAACTCTAAATTTTTACCCTTCTATCGCCAACCCCTATTTTTAACATTATCAGGTTCGGTGATGTTTGTGACTTAATCTATATAGACCGTTTTGTCTCCTTCATTACTTTTAAATTTTATTATTGTATGGGCAACAATGGTATTAGTTTTTGTTTAGGACAAATAAAGATTATTATTATTATTATATAGACGGCCTCAGTGGTTTAGCGGTCATCGGAAGTAAAGCGGTGTAGCACACCGGGTTCGATACCTCGCGCGGCACAGACGTTTGTATTCATGAGTATTATTGTTTCTATCGGTCTGGGTGTTTTCTATGCATAATATGTATGTATTTATGAAAAAAATAAACATATCTTTGTATTTATATCATTTATCTAGTCTAGTACCCATAACACAAGCTGCTTTTTAGCTGCTTAACTTGGGTCTAGATGGCGTTGTGTGAATTGTCCTTAGATTATATTTTTATTATTATAATGAACTTAACGACTAATGAACTACCTACTGTGAATAGAATACAAAGATAATAAATAAAATAATTTAAATAATATATAAGACAACTAGCCACCCACCCCAGCGTCGCACGGGTGTGCATGTATTATACATATAAACCTTCCTCTTGAATTCCTATCTATTAAAAAACCTGCTTCAAAATCCTTTGCGTAGGTTTAAAGATTTAAGCATACATAGGGACGGACAGACAGCGACAGCGACTTTGTTTTATACTATGTAATGATAATAAGACATAATCCAGCTCAAATGGTTGTACCAATTTGAATTATATTTAGTACATAAATAAATTAAGAGTGTCTCTAAATACTACACAGAATTTATAACAATAATAACCCTGCACAACTCATACAGCGCCATCTAGTCCCAATCTAAGCAGAGCTTGTATCATGTCATACTAACCATTCCCTTCTGTATCTACACAGATATCAACAAGAGTAGAATCTATGCGTATGATAGTGTAATTTTATCTCCATCAATCAATAATGATTGATATTATGTAACACGCTATTATATTATTGCAAAGGAATGCTATGCTGATACACCTGTGTACATCCAAATGCAATTCGAGTTGCACATCGTAATGATACAATTAGAATGCAATCGCTTTAGAAAACTGTTTTATGAGCAGCCAAACGGACGAATATTTTAGTTCAGTAAAATTTTAAATTAAAACATGATGTGATTAGTTTTGGCGCAAGCTTTAGTTGTAGTTTTTGTGTTTCGTTTTAGTTGTAGTTTTTAATTTTTAATGCTAAACAGCAGCAGATAATGAAAAAATGAAGAGGACCTGTTTTGTGCAGAATTTTTCCTCTACAACTTTAGTTTAAAACACCTTTTCATATTTCTTATCGTTATCACAGATAACATAATATTACATACCGTTACCGAGTTATTTTAAAAAAAAGGTGATTTTCAATTCTTTTTTAATTTTTACGTTTTCACGCGGTCTTATATTTATATATTGCGCTAAACTGGTCACATGGTTTAATTTAATATTTTACTGATATAATTGTGACTTATTGCAAATCGAAATTGATTTAAATTATTATATAATTTATTTAATAAAATAATATTTATTTGATAATGAACATATTCGTATGAACTATTGCAAATATCCACGTAGATCTAATTTCATATATTTATTTCGGAACTAGCTCTGCCCGTTTCATCTGCATGAAATTTTGTAGGCTAGGTTTTATTTTGTTGCATAAGCTATATTGCTAAATTATCCATACATCCATTTATACTCACCAGCTTTGGATCTTCATTTTTTTCGTGGCGGGGCAAAAACTAAAAAGTATCCATCCATCCATCCATACTCACCAGCCCTGACACTTCATTTTTTTCGTGGTGTCATAAAAACTAAAAAATGCTGAAAAAATAAATATTTTTCGCATTGTCAAAACATTGACGGGTTCGGTGGGTTTGATCCACGTATGGTACAAACATTTGCATTGAATTTGTTTGTTTGACTGTGACATTTGTCCAGGATTTTAATAATTTATGAACGTTTTCCAATATTTGTAATTTATCGATTATAATTACAGCAGAATTCATATTGTCATGCAAATAACATCCGTATTTCTATAGTGTCTTTTCATACTGACGCAAAACTGATTCTAATATATATTTTTTAGGATGATGTATGTATGGCAAATATGCTGTAATGCGTAGAAATAATAACAATATAATAAATAATAATATAATTTTCCTGGGATTATATAGTCCAGGGGAACCGCGTGAAGGTCAACCTGACATGGTACATTGCTAGCAATAAGATCATCAGTCCACGTCATTAACAATCCTCTTTCCTCCTTCCCTGGTGTTATGGGTGCTCATGGGCGGCGGTAATCACTTACCATCACCTAAGCCGTAAGCTCGTTTGTCCTCTATACTATAAAAAAACCGTGCCATTATGATTACTGCCTTATTTGCGTTTACATCGATATGGAAAATTACGTATGTTAATTTTATGAACTGTATGCAATTAGCGTGGTAAGCATCCCACAAAATACACATGATTTCATTAAACAAAGCGCAAAGGTTCATACATCTTGTATGACGAGGTACCATTATAATAAGTGTAATGTAGTATAAAAATTATAATTATTAAAAACCATATTTTCATTAAAAACTAAAAGTTTTAAGAATTTAATGAGAAAATTAATAGTTTCATTAATAAATTAAATATTGTCGGAGTTACACCTCTTACCTTCGGTTCACGTGTGATAAAGTAAGTGCAGTATATTAATTTTTTATGTCACTCATTAATTAGCTAAGAAACAGGTTGATATATATTTTTTTTTTATATACATATAATTAAACTGGCAAACAGATAAAAAAATCAAATATATAATAGTTTTTGGTAATAGAACTAAAAATTATTATATTTGATTTTTTGGCACATGTTCTAACAACATTACACAATTTTTTATAGCTGTATATCACTACATAGTATAAATATATGCTTAAATCTTTAAAACTACGCAAGGGATTTTGATGCAGTTTTTTTAATAGATAGAGTGATTCAAGAGGAAGGTTTATATGTATAATAGGGAGTAGCTAGTATTATAATAGTTGTATAAATTAAGTTGTTATTACAATATTTTTATTTGTAATTCTCACAATTTTTTTTCATTAACCAATTAATAAAAAAAAAAAACAATATATAAAAGTACTTATAATACAATAATAATTAATTTTAAACAATTAACATTATTAGCCGAAATGTATGAATTTTGATAAAAAATTAACGTGCACAAGAGGCCGAAAGGTCCTTTGTGTAATTTTGAGTTTGTGTTTTGTTTTTTAATTCATAAAACGTTGAAAATGTGTCGACACCTTGATCATACTCATACACACAGATCTACATCATATTCGTATGTATGTACATATTTGTATTATGTATTCGGCAGTCGCTATATTAATACTACACATTTTGCACAATTTCGCACAGTGCTCACTCAACCATACTCACAGTAAGTTACAATATTATATACGTAGATATAAGTTCCTTTAATTCCGTAACGACATTTAAACTAGTGTTCGAAATTGAAACCATAGATAATTTTAATTTGGTTATTATTAATGTTCTATGTTCAAAACTTAAAAATGTCGTAAAAGTATATCTATACATATTTATATGTGTGGCTAACGTATGACAGTGTGTATTTTTTTTAATAGTTTACTATAATTATTTTCCTAAACATGAGCTTACTGCACTCTTAAATTTTCTACTTGTCCGTCTGTAATTATTATAAAAAGGGTATTAGTGCTCTTTCTCTATTAATATAATGATAATAATATTTTTTATAGTGTCTTAGTTTTGTGATTTTTCATTGACCTTTAAGGTGGAAATACTTGTGGAATAAATTTATCAATTTATATTTAGAGGAATTGCAGCTTATCAGAAATTAATGCGCAATACTATTAGATTCTTGATATTTATTTAAATAGTAATATACATTATTAATAATAGTCTTTATTTACATACACAGGTCTTAAAGTTATCCATACTAACGTAAGCAATTTGTGATTGTATAAGCTTGTGAATTGTAAGGCACGAAGAAGGTATTTCAGTAGAACAGAACTCACCCCTCGTTTGTAAAAAAAATCAAAGTATATCTATCAGTTGTCCAGTACCCATAACACCAGCTCCGCTTAGCTTGAGACTAGTTGACGTTGCGTGGGTTGTCTAGGGATATTATAGATATTACTAGCTACGTTCGCGACTTTACCCGCGAAATTTATGTCCTATTTGTTATTCTAATGTATAAGCTTGATGTTTAAGATTGTAAAATTTCATTAAAATTCATTCACTAGTTTTTGCGCGTAAGATTAAACCATTCGCGTTTATAATATTGTAGCACTAGGCGAGCCCGCGGTTTCACTGAAATTTATAGCCTATGTATTATTCTGATGCATAAACTATATTATTGTAAAGTTTCATCAAAATCCGTTCTGAAGATTTTGCGTGAAAGAGTAACAAACATCAATTCATCCTTACTCACAGACTTTCGCGTTTATAATATTAATTGAGAATAAGATAGTATTAATATAGAGTAAGAGTAAAATATTATATTATAATAGATAATAATGTATATAAATTGTTTTGTCCACAGAAAAATGCTAGTGAAGTACTGACAACATGGCTCCATCATTGGAAACCCTGACACAACACACGACCCATAATGATCGTTTGACACGAATACAGGACATGGAGAATATCGATGATGTATCGAATAGAATCGATACGATACCGATTATCGATACTCGCGATGTCAATATGAACGAAGTGGAGAGACTGTCTGAAGTCCAGGAGTTCTATAAAGGGAAGAATATATTAATAACAGGAGCTACAGGTAATTTGTTCACTGATACACTTAACTAACAAATAATCTCGGTCAAAATCAAAATAGAAAACAAAATTTCATTCATGTATTATTCATGTACTTAGATCTATTACAGGCTGTTATAATATCCTAAATCTACTGTCAGTTCGGAGTGCTTTCGAGCTGAGAAGAGCTGACAAGAATTTCAGCTCGTATTATTTTCAAATAAAGTTGTAAATGTTTAAAATAATACAGATTTATTGTTAAATTCAAATTTTGTACAATCGGGTGTCCATCAGCATATGCTTGGAGAACCTACCGAAACATAGGATGCACCTCCCATCCTCCCATTTCTGCTCCTATTGTGTGCCAGACATACTACAAAAGCCAAGCAAATTGACTGATGAGCTGCATTTTAATTAGAACAGCCCTATACGGCAGTGACATAATGATTGTTCAGGATTGTGTATGACATGACATCATAGACCTGTGGCTATGGCAATACCTGATGGTTAGTTATGACAAGCGTCAAATCGTAATAATAATAATAATCCCAGGACAGTTGACATAGTTGATCTAAATTAAGCTTTAGCTAGCTATAGTTAACTGATACAAATACATAGATATATATTTGCATATAACTACTTACATATTACCAGCTACTTGCCCCGGCATCGCATGTACATGTATTATATGTAGAAACCTTCCTTAAGAATCACTCTATGTTTTAAATAAAACCGCTTCAAAATTCGTTACGTAGTTTTAAAGATTTAAGCATACATAGGGACGGACAGACAGCGACAGCGACTTTGTTTTATACTATGTAATGATACATAGAAAACACCTAGGCCGATTCAAGCACCTGACAACCCAATAAAATAAACCTTCAAAAGTGAGCCTTCAGCTTGCTCAGTATTCCAGTTATATAAAAATAATAGGATTTGGCGGGAACCCAAAGTATCTGTTAGCATTGTTAGTCCAATTCTGGAACTGCTAAATATGTACTAGGTAATAGGTGACGTGTTTCCGTATTTTCCTAACGTACCTAGAACCTTGACTAATTTTCAGCATCTTAATCACCATAAATGTATGTAATAATTAAAAGAAATATATAAATTAAGCATAGGTATATTTCTTTTTCCCCCTTAATAATAATAAAATTGTAATAGTATGTATTTATAAAAAGGTAAAGGCTAAATTGTTTGCAAAAAGATTTGTCAAAATCCACTCCATTTTTGCAAAGATAGCGTATTATTCTAGTACAAATAGAAAATCCTTCAGTAGAAAGAGAAGAAGTCATATATTAATTTTTTTGTGTTCCATATAATACTATTGTATCATTAAAATTAAGATCAAACTCTTTCTATAGAATTACTTAAAAAAAAATCAATTTGTCTACAACTATATACACTAATTAAAATTATAGCATTATATTGTTCTACCTTTGGTGCACTTTTAATAATTACTTACCAAAAAAATAATCTTTCAATTTGTTTTCCCACCATTTCGGATAAATTTTTTCGTTCGTTTCTTTTGCTTACGTAATTGGTTGTTATGGAGCATGTATGTATTTAAGAAAACAAACAGTGATTTAATAATATTTTTTTACACCTGTATAATTGCGCAAAATATTTAGGTAGTAATAAAAATGGATAATCGTTCTACTTTAACGCATTTTACATATTGTTATCTATTAATACGCTTTACGTACGTGTGTTAACTTAATTGTATTATAAAAAAGAACTTTATTTTAGGTTTCCTTGGAAAGATCTTGGTGGAGAAACTTCTCAGATCATGCCCGGGAGTGGAGAATTTATATCTACTGGTGAGGCAAAAGAGGGGGAAGGACATCTTCACAAGAATAGATGAGATCTTTGATGATCCTGTAAGTACATTTTTACTACATATTTACCTTCGTTTGAGTGTACTATTATTATCAACAACTAGCCACAAATGTTAATTTTAATACCACGTGATAGTTTTATGTCTACTCGATAAATTTTATTGTTTGTGGTTAAAGATTTTTACCTTGTAAGGCGTCTAGAAAAGGTGCTATAATTGACTTAACGGTCTCATATCAGTATGAAACTAGGAAACCTTCTCAACTTTAACTTCGCCGAAGCCAAAGCAATTTATTAAGTCTTTTAACTATTTGTCGACATCATTAAATATACTTCTTTAAATTTTTTTTTGGTTCGGTTTTCCCGTTTCAGTGAAAGGCAAAAGGACTCAGTCTATACAGCCATTGTTTTCGGTAGTGTATTCCTTTCAATAGCAATTACAGAACTTGTACATAAACAAATATTTTATAATGAAAAATATCATGAAGCCACTATCTAAATGAAAACAGTAACACATTTAGTTGAATCTTGACGGTATTTAGCTACATTATATCGTGTGTTATCAAGTTGTCTATGTGAATATCTCCTTTTTACCTATTTAAGCCGCCATGTTGCTTTTTCTTAACCTATTTATTTTCTCTGCTGAAGTGTGTGATATAGCACCGCGTCACATGATTACGTGTCCATGATGCCTTTCATGTATATAGGCGAAGGTTACCATTTACAATAAGATGGGCCGTCAGTTTGTTTATCATTTCAATAACATAAAAAAATTGTTTGTTTGTATTTATTCTTACCATATTTATATATACATTTCGGTCAACAAAGTAATATAAATAATCTGTAACCGTGACCATTGAGTTAAGGAGACCTTACATGTTCAACTCTTGACACCAATAATGTAAATATGAGTGAAAAGGAAACTAGGTACTTGTTGACTTAAAGTATTTGCGGACGTGGATCGAGGTAAGGACGAGTGAGTAGGTTACATGGTATAAGTGCATGTAATAAAAAAAGTAATACATATGATGTAAGATATATGAGAAAAACTATTGTTGGAGGACATGACCAATATACTTTAACCCAAAACAATGATTGTTAGAATTGTTGTCTGTGCGTTTGTGTCCTCATCTCAGAGAGGATTTAGCCGAATTGGATGCGATTTTCACTATTGTATTGTAATAAACTTCAATTAAAATTTGTGTTTGATTTTATTGAGATTGGTTTACAAATAAAGAAGTTATATCTATATTATGATAGAGCTAAAATTATAAATTCATAAACAAACATGAAAATCGTAGTTGACTTTGTTATTATTTTATATTATTCGAGATTATTTCACTATATTTTTTTATATTTTGTATATTCTAAAATTTGTCGTAAGTACTTATGGTTTACAGCAGGCTTTTAGCTGCTTACTATTTTTTTTAATTCTCTTGTTCCGAAATTTGTCGTAGGTTTAACCAGGGCTTTTACCTTCTTAACACTTTATTTATTATTGTAGTCTTTCATGGTGACTAGTCCTTTACGCTGACTAAACATAGATGCCTTTTTTATTACTGTATTTTTTTAATGGATGGTAATAGTGTACACGCCTGCATTCGTGCATAGTATACTGAATGAGCATGAAGTCAGGTTAGTTAATCCATCGTTGAGATTTTAAAAAATAGTTATTTACCACGATGGTAATTGTATACCAATATATGAGTGTTTCAGTATGATAGTATTAGATGAACATTATTAAATTTTATGTATAAACAAGTGTTACATATTGAAACATAACAAAATTATTTTTATAACAAATTAGTACATAACAATTCTGTTAAGTTTGCGTATATTAACAGGCTCCATACAGATGTATATGTAACAATTCTAAACACATATAAACATTATAGATTCCAATAAAATATTGTGTTAAAGTTACATTATTCCAGAATGATATATTATGTATATAATATTCAAATACTCATGAAAACTGCTAAGTTGTGAGTATCCAGGCCAAGCCAGGGCGGGCCACTAGTCCCCAATAATCTTAATGTAGTTTCGTTCTCGTTCGATCAATATTCAATTCTTGACCATGCAGATGACCTTGTACCGTGACTCACAATGTATACAACAAATAAAATAATGCATAATCAAATATTTATCGCTTTCGAGTAACGAGAAAACGTCAAATGGCTTGTAAACAATGATGAGCAAACCTCCATAATGTTCTAACGATACCATAAGGACCTAGTGTATAATCTTGGAAAATATTTACTTGATCTTTATTACAGTAGTGTAAACTTGTGAATATATTTTATTAACGGGTTTCAAAAGATGCCGGAAATCTTCTCGAGAATGCATGAGAATATAAATAGATAATTCAAATGAACGTTATTTAAAGCACATTTCATTCACATATTCTACCTAGGTAGTTTACTAACTACCTAGGTAACTACCTAGGTAGAATACCGTACCTAGGTACTTGTAACAACTTATTTGCATGGGTATCATAGCCTCACCTTTTTCAGCTGCTAAAGAACTTGCTTTGCAAGCTGTGTTTTGGTTTAGATAAGGCAGTGAAATTACAGAATAATCTTAAAACATCTTAGTCCTAGGCTGAAATGATAATACGTTAGTGGTACCATGGGAGTCACATGATAACGTGATGCTCCAAGTGATTCCCGTTCTTGTCTATAGAATATAGGTTATCACTTACCATAAGATGGGCATTTAATTCGTTTGCTTTTCCAATTATTTAAACATGAAATAGACATAATTTTAAGCACTTTAAAATGCTTATGTTTTGTATAACCACATTTAGACTGCTAAAAATAATGAAACTTGATTGGTGATGTTTTGTACAAAACTTATAACTTAACGTTTCGATTTTATCTGAGTACGGACAGCATAAAAAATCAAGAGGTAAAATTTTATTAAGAAAAAGATTAATTTAATTTTGCTGTGTCATGTGTAGAATCATTTATTTACTAATTGGTCTGTTATTGTAAGAACTATTTCGTCTATCAAATGTAACTTAGTCGCCCATAAGTTATTTTCTTTCTTCTTTTGTCAATTCTTTTTTCTTTCATTTCAGGTGTTCGACCGCTTGAAAAAGGAAGTACCAAAGTTTAGACACAAACTCGTCGCGATTCCTGGCGACTGTGAAGCTGCAGGTCTTGGTCTCACTCTTATGGACAGACAGATGCTCACGGAAAAGGTGAGTGTGCATCAGCTCATAATTGTTGAAGTTGTTTTTAGGGTCAATTCTTCTTCTTTTTCTTCTTTTGTTTCAATGGCAAGTGCATTTAGCGCTTACCTAAGAATGTTGCGACGACTTTAGCGCATTCGATCGAATTTTTTAGATCTTCCTATGTGCTGAATGATGGGTTAATAATAATAATAATAATCCACATAACGATATCAAGTCACAAGGTAATCAGAGCTTGTATTATGGGTACTAACAAACTGATTGAAATACTTAATATTTCACAAATACAACACACAGAAAAAACCCCAGATAGATACAAACAATCATGTTCATGAATACATATATGTTTGTACCGTTCGAGGAATCATACCATTACCATCGACAGTAAAGCGGTGTACTAAACCGTTAACCACTAAAGTTGATTTAATATGACATTATAATTTAACTTGCGTATATTTACCGCCAACAAGAACGCGGCTCTTAAATTATGAATGAATATTGTCAACAAACTGGTTTGTATGATCTGAATTAAATAATGATTGTTATATAAAAAAATATTACAAAGTGGAAAAAACTCGATTTTTTGTTAGCAGAGGATGCACTCAAAAAACATTCAATGGATTAATAAGAATATTCTGTTATAAGTCCGCCATTGTAAATTTTATTTATTTTCTAAGATCATTGTATTCTGTCATTTTAAATGTTATTACTGTACAATACAGTGTTACAAAAAAACAAACATGCTACCGATTTAAACATTCTTTTACCTATTCATGGCTACAACATGAGAGAGACTTTTTAGAAATGGTTAACAACCAAATATTTATATAAGAATATTAGAAATAAAATTAATTGTAACAGTAAGATTTCATAGTAAACTAAATAAATTATTGAATGAAATTATACGTATGTTATAAACGTACGATTTAATTAAAACTGTATTAAAATTCGTTGCGTAGTTTAAAAGACAGCGAACAGATAGCGGGGGACACTTTGTTTTAAACTATGTAAATATATATATACTGTATATAATAAAACAATACAATACATGTAGTCAATAATATAGATTTTAAAGTAATGTTAGTTATGATAACGCTGACAGTTATCATTGCTAATGTACAGACGGATGTTTTCCAATATAACTCCAAGTCACTGCTCTACCTCATACCTCACTTTCAACGTCAAGTCACGCGTGCCAACCAGGCGTTGTAGGGTATGCATTATTCAATATACTTTCAAGTGAGAATCGAGGAGCATTGCAATAGAAAGATTTATTGAAAATTGTAAACAGCTCTGAGCGCGATATAGTCTAGTGGGTTAATACCCTGGTTTTCAGCTTAAAATATCGTGAGATTAAATCTAGCCGATACGAGAAAACATAATAAGGGCCAATATTGTTACAATATTGGCTCTTATTATATATACTTTAAGGACTAAGATATGTATGAAATAATCTTATATATAAAATTATCGTGGCACAATGTTAGTTACCATGAGACATGAGCCGTTTCGTAGGAGGGTTTGACCGATTTTTATGAAATTTCGTATTCATTAGGTCTGAGAATTGGCTACTATCTATTTTTCGTACCCCATGTATACGTTGTCCTAGTCATCATATATACGTTGTTTTTACTCAGTAGCAGTAGTCTATTGGAGTATTTGTTCGAGTAGCCCGATATTAGGGCTTTTGAATGTGTTAATCCTGGTATTTCTTGCCATGGGTTTTTTCAAGAACGTGAAGCACGTGACATCCCTGGTGTTTCAGGCGTCGCTCTCGCTATCTATTCGCTTAGATCTTTTAAACTACGTAACGGATTTTAATACAGTTTTTAGCAATAGATATATTCCATGTATTATATGTATAATATATGTACACCCGTGCGAAGACGGGCGGGTAACTAGTAATATAAACATGAAATGTTAACTATTTGAATGTAATGTTACAGGTCAACATAATATTCCATTCGGCTGCAACCGTGAAGTTCGACGAACATCTCCGCGCTGCACTCAATACAAACGTTCGAGCACCGTTACATTTACTCCGCCTGGCGAGGGATATGAAGGGACTGGATGTAAGAGAAATGATCTTCTTATTTTTCATTTAAGTGTGAAAATAATAATATAGTACAGTATAATGATAGTGGCTGCCCAGTGTATGAAATTCGATTGTAATTCATTTAAATTATAATTTGAACATTGTCAAATACTATCTCAATACTTATAACCGCCAAAGTTAGTGAATATGGATGTTGATTTTCATGAAACTTTACAGTAAAATAGCTTATGCATCAAAACTAATATTATATATGCGAAAGTAACCCTGTCTGTCTCGCTTTCATGCCAAAACTACTGAACCGATTTAAATGAAATTTGGTACGCAGATAGTCTAGACCCTGAGAAAGAACATAGGTTACTTTTTAATGCGGATAAAGGGTTGTAAGGGGTTGAAAGGGGAGATTAAGGTTTCTATGGAAGTATCGTCATTTTTAAAACTAGAAATTGAAACTTATTCTTAAACTGTCTATTAAATATAAATTAATATGACTGTGTAATATAATGTCATCAGTGATATGACTAAGTTTGTAAAATAGTTACCCTTAAGGGGTTAAAAAAATAGGGGATGTAAGGTTTGTTAAGAAAATTGTCTTTTTTGAAACTATAACGCAGAATCTTTTATTTATATTTGGTCAAGGTCACTATAACACGCGGACGAAGTCGCGGGCACAGCTAGTACATAATATAAAAGACAAACAGTATTAATGTATTCTCAATTTGACCACAGATTTTAACAATAAAATGTGTGTGTACGATATATAAATGATGAATAAATACACACACCACTTGTTTAAGTTTTTTTTTATGTAATGTATTTTTTATGTATAGTTTAAAAAAATATATTAGCATTCTGCACTACTTCTCTATAAAGAAGTGAGCGAAATTTCATTCCTTTGTCTAGGCAATTTTCGTAAAAATATGTAGAAATTTTTTATTCACGTATAATGATGGTCTTAATACATTAATAGAAATTAAATCTAACTCTACGATAGTCTCCCTCCCTCAGCTAGTATAAAGTATACTTTGCACGGGTGTATATGTATTATATATATAGACCTTCCTCTTGAATCACTCTACCTACCAAAAAATACCTTAAAAATCCGTTGCGTAGTTTTAAAGATTTAAGCATACATAAGACAGACAGACAGCGATGGCGACTTACTTTTATACTTAATAATATATATTAGTACCTGCATAATACATTGGTCAGCACGACAGTTCTTATTACTATACATTTAATATCATTCTGCAGGTGTTAATGCATATATCGACTGCATACTCCAATTCCCATCTTTCCCACATAGAGGAGAGGTTCTACCCATGCGAGGCCGACTGTGAACAGTTACATCAGATGATCGAGAAACTAACGGACAGACAAATAAACGATTTACTGCCCACGTAAGTAATCATATATACATATATACTTAGAAAGAAACTTTAAACGCGCCTTTTGTTGGGACGATTTTTTTTATTGGATGATAATGGAATGGTGCATCAATAAATAAATAAATAAAAAATATTAAAATTTACATTTTGCAATCTTACTAATCCATGAATTAATTTATAATATGTCATGACAATTCAAACAGCGCCATGTAGTTCCAATACAGCAAAGCTTATAATTACTAGACAACTTGTACAAATATATAGATATATTTTTTTGTAAACATATATATATTTTATAACGCCATCTACTCCCAATCGAAGCAGATCTTGTATTACTTTAACTGATATAAATACTTGACAGTTTTTTTATGTAAATACATAAAAAATACACAGATTCAAACAACCATCATACTCACCGTGTACCGTGTGTATGTAGGAATCGTAAGTACATAAGTCGATATCCTATATAACTACTCCACACAATCGTCTATTCATTATCTTGTTTACGTTACATTTCAGGATATTAGGCGCATGGCCAAACACGTATACATTTACGAAGGCACTAGCTGAGAAAGAACTGCGAGTGAATGCGGGGGGCATGCCTATTGGTATATTTAGACCAGCTATAGGTGAGTCATGATGATCCGATTACGTTATGTACTCTGATACATCGTTCATTACGGAGTTATTATAGACTATAATTCAAGACTCCCAGTATCCTATAATTTACAGGATACTGGTACTACATCATCCTATATAATAGTATTGGTAGTTACAGTATGCCCAGTATTCTGTTATTAATAGGATACAGGTACTATATAATACTACTGGTAGTTACAGCATGCCCAATATCTTGTAATTAACAGGATACTAAGTATCACTTCTTCCAATAAACGATATAAGAATTTATAAAACGTATAAGACTAGCATTGATATTATATTTCCGAATAATTCATTTATATTTATTGTCGCAATAGAGTAAATATTTTGTATGAAAAAAATATGGTGCATGTGCATGGTTAATTAAACAATTAAATTAGGAATATATATATATTTATTTAATATTATATTAATTAATTAATTAATAAAATAAAATAATATAAATCCATTAAATAGTACAATAGAGTAAGCCGAATAGACCGGAACGTACCTTTCCTATAGATTGTAAGTTTTGGGAACAATAAATGTACCACAGTATATGAATAATATAAATTTTAATTCTAGATTTATTGCATGTTCTCAGTGATATCGACAGTAAATGAGCCATTGAAGTGTTGGCTGGACAACATGTACGGACCCACCGGTATAGCAGTCGGCAGTGGTGTGTATTCTTATTTATATGCTTTTTGACCAATAAAATAAAATGATTTGACACGGTTATTATTTTATACGAAAAATTGATAAAAATCGTTTCTTACCATGTTTTATTTATTTTTTATTGAGTTGTCGACTGAATTTAGGTAATAGCATGATCACTAAATGTTTAATTTAACTTGTAATTTAAAATAGTATATGATATTGAAAAATAAAGCCACTTCTAAATGTACTGGGTGCAATGATGTTCAGTGCCTCTGGAGTGAATAATTCGACACATAATATAATGGTTAAAAGAGTTTAACCCTAAATAAACTGATAACACTCGAAAGTTTAAAAAAAACTTTGTAATCACAATACAATATCAATACAAGAATATTTACATTTACATTGTCTTTTAATTGATAATTTAGTTTAAGTACCACGACTTAAACTAAATTATAAATTAAAAAACTTAAAATTAAGCTATAATTAAAGACTATTAAACTAGTCTTTTGCAAAAATTAAAACATAATAACAGTAGTTGATGTTTTAAAAACAATTTAGTACTTGTCTATAGAGAGTACGCAGACTACAATACGTAAGAGGCCTTCCATTAATCACGTGATTTTTTAAGCATTTTACCCCCCTTCCTATTGATACGTGGTGAAGTCAAAACTACCCTCCCCCACTCAACATCACATGTATTTTTAGTACCTACAAAGAATCTTAAAATTTTTAGAATATTATCTTTAAATACAGGTATAAAGTATAATCATATTTTATTCTGAAAAATGAAGGACCATGATTGTTTTTGATTGGCATAAAATAAATATATGCGATGTCTTACTAGACTCTTCCTCTAGCCCCCCACGTAATTAATGGATGACCCCTGAAGTACTGTTTTTTTTTACAGTATCAGGTATAGTAAGAACGTTGCAGTGCGACGAGAATGTGACAGCGGATCTGGTGCCAGTGGACAGCGCTGTCAATTGCCTGATGGTTGCGGCCGCTAATGTTAGCGCAGCGTACAAACAAAGGTCACATTTATATAGACCCTTAATTTTGTTATAGCATAGAGGACAAACGAACTTTTGCTCACCTTATGATAAGTGATTATTGTCGTCCAGGACATCAGGGGAATTGCAAATGCAGGCCTTTTAAAAAGGAAGCTCTTTTCTTGAAAGTTTCAATATCGTAACGGTTCGCAAACACCTTTTCTTTGAAATGTTATTCCACAATGGTGTTGTGTGTGCAAAAAGTTTCTGAAAAAAAATCTTGATTCCGTTATTTCATTTAAACGTAATTACGATAATCTAAACTTAGGTTCGAACTCCTCTGACCCCTGACCCTCAGACTGCAATCATATCCGTCAGGCAGAAACTGCTGCACTAACGCGGTACATCTGTACCATATGTGTGTATGCAAATGGATAGACATACAATAAACAAATTTATTCTAAAATTTTCTGCACTCGCTCCTTGTGAGGTAAAGATGTAAAGGGCAGCAACGACCAACATCATTAGAATTGTTCGAAAACAACCTATGACTTCGTCATCTAACGATTTTTTTTACAGCCCTATCTATTTTTTTTATTATAATGCAGATTATGTTATTCGCTGAACATCAATAGAAAAAATATCTTTACTTATGTAAATCAATTAGGTACGAACATTTATGACTAACAATTAACCGTCAGTTCGCAATTTAGTTCAAGTCGAGAACAACTGACAAGAAACTCTACTCGCACTCTTTACAAATATCATGTTGCCGTCTGTAGTTGAAAGAATTTGTAAAATAATTTTGATATAAATTAGTAACTTGCAAATCTAACATAAACTGAGGTACAGCATTGTATGAATTCGCCGGTCCTTTAGTCTCTCGAAAATCTTTTGTGAACCTGCAGAAGAAGCATGACGTTTTAGTTCTCCTTAATGACAAATGATACGTCAGGTGTCACGTGATGACCTGATGTCCATGGTATTATACCTACATGAATATAGACGACGACGTAGATTAAATGATGGGCCGCCATTTTAAAATAACTAGTTTTTTCTTGATTGTTAAGCAACTTGCACTATTGCTTGCATCATTGGTCAAGGGTCGTTCGGTGATGGCGGTGCATGTAAACAATTGTTACGAGAAGCTAAAGTCACCTTTCTTAATCTCTTAAAGATAATCACAGCAAACAATTATGTTATTTATTCTTGAAATATTGTTTACTTTCATTATATATAAATAAAATTGGAGTGTCTGTTTGTAATATTGAAATAACCGTTTTTTATTACATGCATTTGAATATAAATGTCAAAAAATCACTTTTAAAATTTTTTGTCTGTCTGTCTGTCGGTCTGTTTGTTCCGGCTAATCTCTGAAATAGCAGGACCGATTTTGACGGGACCTTTTTTGGCAAGTAGCTGATGTAATAAGGAGCAACTTAGGCTACTTTTATTGTAGAAAAATAAAGTTAAATTCCACGCGGACGAAGTCGCGAGTGCAGCTAGTACTCTATATAAACTACCTTTGCACGGCACGTTCTTTTAAGCGCGATTAAGAGCGCTCGCTATCGTGAGGAATAGAATATAAAATAATTTATTCAAATAAATTTAATTTAAGCACTTTTGAATAGTCATAACAGTTTTTTCATAATCTACCGCTCGTTCGAAAAGCTGTCTCATCACAAGAAGAACGAGCAAGAAACTTGTGTGTTGCTATTTTAAATAATAATCCTTGTAAGTTCACATTTTACAATTCGAATCGTGTGAAAACAAACTACCAACCAGCACTAATTTATCTATTTTTGGGTCCACTCTTTCGCTCGTCGTTATGCGCATCATTCATATCAATTCACTTTCTTTTAAATTTGGTTTTTTATTCCATATATTATATTTTCCAAATACACATTTAATAATGTAATTATTAAATCATCAAAACTCTATAATTATTTATTTATTCTTTTGCACACACTTAATTGGCGGACTTAATTCCCGATTTCATTCTCTACCAGTCAACCGTCGCGTTGATCAGAGATAGTATGGCGATGCAATTTTACAGAAAAAAAAAATATATATTTTTATAGGTGTATATACTCGTATATATAAACGTACAAATATACTTCTAAAATTATATAATTACATAAATAAGCTAAATATATAGCTTTAATAATTATCATACAAATTATATTATTAAACTATAATAAATATATAATACATATGATTTCATGACATATATCTTCAGACAATTATATCTCAGCTCCATCGACAGATTTTCGCCATTTTGCAATGACATTTAAAGGACTTACTTAACTTAGGATTACTTGAAATTAACGAGTCTAGTACTAGTAGTTAATAAAATAAATAATAACAGATCACCACCACAAGAACCACCGATATTCAACTACGTCAGCTCCGTGGAGAATAAAATAACATATGGCGATTTTATGGAGAAGAATATCACTAGAGTCGATCACTATCCAACGTCAAATGCTGTCTGGTAAGATATACTTTGTATGAAATATACAACGAATAAAAGGGAGATGTGAAGAGAGAATTAAAAACTTATTTTTTAAACTGGAAGAAAATCTTTTAATTAATCATTTCGTTTTTTATATAGGTAACGAAAGTTCTATTTTGATTTTGATATGTATTTACATATTAATTTTAATAAATATCAGTTATTTTTATTTAACTTTAACTTAAACAAAAGTATGAGTTACACTCGATTGCCGTGTTATAGTTAGTTACTTATTTATTTAGTACCTATTCTCATTTAAGTTAAATTGTACCTACACTGGTTAAGTTTAACTGTTATTAATTTATATATCGAATTCAAAATAGAGAATTAGACAATCTTTTTTCAAATAAACTTAGTATAAGCACTTTTGAATAGTCATATTTTTTTTTTATTTTACCACTTATTCGGAATGCAGACTCGTCATAAGAAGAACGAGCAAGAAACTTGCGTGTTGCTCAAAAAATTGTATTCTCAATTTCTTGAGAAAATGCTGATACGATTTTGTTGTTTTTATAAATTAATGTTGGTGTATGTATTATTATTGTGTATATGTATGTATGTGTACACAGATTACAAGTATTTAGTAATTACTTATATACATATGTTATGTGTGCAACCATGTAATAGGTATAAATATTTACTGTCTTTCTTTAATTCAAATGCGTCGTAGTAGTTTTGTATGTTTTTTTATAAAAGTGTTCTTAATATATTTTATTTTATGCAAGTAATTAGTACTCATTATTACAGCCGCTTAGTAAATTTTAGCTAAAATCCTTGTATTTTTAGGTACGTATCGCTAACACTCACAAAGTCGATACTAATGTACAATATTTATAAATTCTTTCTACATCTACTGCCCGGCGCGTTGTTTGATGTGCTGGCCATATGTGTGGGAAGAAAACCTAAGTGAGTATAATCATCATAATTATAACTTAACTTAATTTTCTGTCAACTATAAGAGATGCAGGTGCAAATGTGTTCATTATATTAATACGTGAAGTTAAACCTTGTAACCTTACCCATTTGTAAGAAATTTGCACGATCAGAAGCGAGTAAATTTTCACATTTATCTTACTGATATTAAATGTGAAAGTTTGTGAGTATAGACGAATGGATGTTTTTTTCTTTTTCACACAAAAACTACTGAACGAAATTTGATAAAACTTTACAGTAATATAGCTTATATAATAGAATAACATATAGGCTATAATTAAACAAAAGATATTACGTAAATTGAACGAAATATAATGATAAATGACACTGCTAATATGTTTTTATGTATATTTTTTACAAATTTAATATCTCCCATAATATAATATATATACCTGATCATAAAGTGTAAAAGATAGAATATATTAAAATTGTAAAAAATATATACCGATCAATATTATGATACTACACGATACAGAATGAATGTTTTTTTTTATTTCCAGAATGATGAAAGTGTACAAGAAAGTCCACAAGTTTTCGTCCGTGCTGACGTACTTTTGTATGCGAGAGATCAGTTTCTGCAACCGAAATACGAGGGAGCTCTGGCAGAAAACGTCCGATAGTGATAAACAGGTAGGCGCTATGTTCATAATGAAATAGAAAACATAATAATATGATCAATCCCCTTCCAATTTAAACGGGGATCGAAATTACTACGGCTTGAGCCGATGCTCGAACCCCTAGCGGTGCCCTCAGACTAAAGTCGTATCAGTCAGGCGGGAGTTGGCCTTCAGCCGCTCCATAGTTCCTTCCTTTGGTTTGGAGTGCCATTTGCACTTGCCCCCTATCATCCGGTAAAGCTGTAAAGGCCAGCTGTGGCCAACAGCAATAGAGTAATCTGATAAATAATCTGATATATATAACACAGAAGTTAGTGAGTATGGATAGATGTTTGTTACTCCTACACGCAAAAATATATACTATAAAGTTTCATCAAAATCTATTCAGTAGAATAGATTTTGATGAAACTTTATAGTAACATAACTTATACATCATTATACATATGTAACTTTGAATTAAGGTTCTATTGTCAAGGACAATACTTCTATGCGTGTCTTTATCAAATATGTATATGATAGTGTGTCAAATTTTTTTTTTACAATAAAGTAATTTTACAAAAAAAAAAAAAAAATCTGCACTACTTCTATATTTATATTTCGGAATTTCAATTTAGTCCGTCCGCGCAGTCTTCTTAAATAGAAGTATAAAGTGTTTGATTTACATATTTAATATATTGACTTCTATATCCACCTCCAATAGACTGGGTCCGCAGCAGTACAATGCCTCTGGTGTCCAATCCGACATACATTCTGTAATAATTAGGATGCTCTTTACTCCTAAATGAATATAATTCTTAATAAAAGCTAGCCTTTTTGCCTATTGTTAATACAGAGAGTGATTCCTTTTTGCAGCTGTTCCCATTCAGCATGAGGGAGATAAGTTGGGACGAATACTTCGAGGAGTACCTGGCGGGCATCAGACGGTATCTTTTCAAGGAGAACGACGATACGTTACCACGAGCCAGGTTAAAGTGGAAAAGGTAAGTGAAAACGGGTCATATTATATTACGGATGGTAAGAGTAGAATTGAATAAACAATATACAACAAAAGAAAAAGATGGAGATGGGAAAGACAAGGCTATCCCTTGCTATTATTTCCCATCTCCATCTTTTTTAGCGTTTTTATTACAAGGGACAGAGAAAGAGAAATTGGAAAGAATGAAAAGAGAGTGTTATGGCCGGTAAATAAAATCCCAGGGTTACTTCACTGGTTTTAATTTCTTGATAGTTACAACTTGCTGACCGTACTGAACTACTGAACTGAATATATAATACTGTACTACGTAGGAATATACTGAACTGGTACTGGAATAATTTTTCATATTTTTATTATTGGGTCGTCCGCTGGTCCTAACTGGACCGCTGGGTACGGGCCCCGAGCTTGCGCTCCTTGCCCGGGCATTCTGCTGGGGTGAACCACCCCAGCGTCGTTCTTTTACCGGCCGACCTGCCGGCCGGCCGGAGGGCGGCTGCTTCTCAGCAGCCGCCTGTGGGCGTTGTGTGGCAGGAATCATTATGTCGCTCGCCGAGCCGGCTTAACGCCGCCACGTCACGTAAATGACGTGATCACTCGGTGGAGAGTAGGTCGCGCGGGAGCGCGCGAGTGGCGTCCGGTGGGCGCGCGTGGAGAGGGGCGAGGTCGCGCAGGTGCGCTTCGCGCCCGCTGTCCGCGCGCGAGAACATCGCGCGCGTCAACCGGACGACGAACTGCTCCACCGATGGGACCTTGAGGTCGCGGGCGATCACGTCATTACGGACGTACCGTCCGGCATTTGTGCACAGACGGAGGGCGGCGTTCTGTTGGACCTGCAGTCTCCGCCGCTGTGAGGCCGAGCACAGTGCGTACCATGCGGGGGCGGCATATGTGAGCCGCGAACGAATGTAGGTCTTATAGATGCCTACTTTCGTCCGCAGCTGCAGCCTGGATTGTAAGACCGGTCGCAGCATAGCGCGCGCGGCCTTGGCTTGGGTGACAACCCGGTCCACCTGCGGCTTCATACGCAGCGACCGGTCGATTTCTACCCCTAGGTAACGCACTGTGCGTTCCCACTGTATGGGCTGGCCTCTAAGTAAGAGGGGCGGCGGGCATTTGCACCCGGGGCGGGTAAGCAGCGCCACCGTTTTACCCACGTTAACGGTGGTACGCCACTTATCCAGCCACTCGGGGAGCAGGTCCAACAGCCGCTGCATTTTGCGAGCGGCTGCGTAGGCTCGGCGAGACGACGTAAGGAAGGCACTGTCGTCGGCGAAAAGAGCGAGGACGACATCCCTCTCTCCCTCTTGGAGCTCATCCCTCAAGGTGGGGATGTCGTCTGTGTACGTCGCGTAGAGCGCTGGCGAAATGCAGCTGCCCTGCGGGACTCCGGCGGCAATTGGGCGTGTGGTAGAGTCACAGTTCTCGACCGAAACATAGAAGCTCCGGCCCGAGAGGAACGAGTCCACTACTCGCACGTATGCTGACGGCGTGTTGGTGTCGAGCAGCTTTGACACCAAACCGTCGTGCCACACACGGTCGAACGCCTTCTCTATATCGAGAAATACGCCGACCGTGTAGTGGCCGCGGTTGTGCTCGACAGCCATATGGTGGAGCACGCGCGTCAGCTGCAAAGTCGTCGAGTGTCCGCCTCTGAAACCGAACTGCTCGTCGCGAGGCGACAGAGTCGGTCTCAGGCGGCGGAGCAGGAGGCGCTCGAACGACTTTGCTACGTGCGAGAGCAGAGTGATGGGCCGGTAGCTTGCCGGCAGGCGCTTGTCCTTGCCGGGTTTCGGGAGGACTATGACTCTACCCAACTTCCAGTTGGTAGGGAAGTGGCCGGTCCGGAGTATGCCGTTGTAGAGCCTCGCTAGACACGCTAGGGCTCTACGGGGCAGCTGTGCGAGCGCTGCGGTGCTGATCCCGTCCGCTCCGGGCGCTTTGCGCTTCGGCAGGCGGCTGACGAGCCGCCTTACCTCGCCGGGCGAAACGAAGCTCACTTCGCTTACGTCCGGCGACGGAGCGGTACGGAAATCGCATACGCGACGTACGACTCGCTCGTGGTGCTCGACGACAGTGCTGGGTGCGTCGGCGGCGATTGGATTGGCCGTGAATTGCCCCTCCAAGTGCTGTGCCAGGATTTCTGCCCGGTCTTGGGCTGCGTAACGACGTCTGCCCGTCTCGTCAAGCAACGGGCAGACGGGGGGTCGTGCATTGGTGAGCTGTCGATTGAGTTTGTGCAGGTCGGTATCGTGTTCGCCAGCCCGGGATATGACACCATCCCAGGCGGCTCCACGCCAATCCCGCACTCCCTCCGACAGCTCTGCAGCCAAGCAGTTGAGCTCACGCTTGACCCGCGGGCAACGGGTTCGGGCCCATAGGCGACGGAGATTCTTTTTCCGGGCGAGTTTTTCGCGCAGATGGTGTGGCAATTCCTCTCGACGGCGAGAAGCCACGTTTATTGTGGTAGTTGCCGCCTCCACTGCGGTGCGGATTCGCTCCGTTATGAGTGTGGAGGCGGCTTCGACACCCGCTGGCGATGATAGTTCGCCGTCGAGGTGTAGATGCTCCAATTCTGCGCGAAAAACACGCCAATCCATCCGCCGCCTCGACGGTCTCGTCGGTGTGGTGGTGATGGAGAGGTCAAGCGTGGCTAGAACTGGGAGGTGCTGCGTGTCAAGGTCGTACAGCACCTCCAGTAAGACCGGGCAAGGCACAGCCTGCACTAGGGCAATGTCCAGAACGTCTGGGCTATGTGTGGGATTTGAGGGTACGTGGGTTGGGTGCGCTGGGCCCAACACCTCGTACCCGTGGATCTGCGAATCCTGGAGGAGTCTTCGACCTATCGGCGAGCACAGACGGGAACCCCAAGCCGTGTGCTTCGCGTTTAGGTCGCCCATGAGTAGGGTGGGACTCCTCCCATCCAGAACGTTCCGGACATCGGAGGGGCTGAAATCCAGTCCCGGGGGACGGTAAGCTGCCAGGACCTTCAGTTCCGCGCCGTCGACGTTGATGCTGACTCCTATGGAGCGCATGACGCGGAACTCGGGGCGCTCTAACTCCACGTGGACTACGTCCCGACGGACTAGTACCGCCGTACCGCGGTACGCAATGCCCGCCGGTGACGTTTCGTCGCGTCTATACACGTGGTAGTTAGGCACCCTCAACGTCTCCTTTTCTGTGAGCTTCGTTTCACCCAGGAGTATGATGTGCACATCCTGGGTGCGAGCTAGGAGACGGAGGTCCTGGACTTTATCCTTTATTCCCCGGGGTTCCAGTACACAATGCGCAGGCTAGTACCCGCCATTTGTGTACTGTTGGATTTTGGCCAATCCATTTAATGCCGCCGACTTAGTATCTGCGCCGGCCGCGAGCGTTGTTAGCAGCTCCGTCAACAGGCTAATAAGCATGTTCAGTGCTCTGTCGACGGGCGCTTGTGTGAAGGGCGCGGGCGCGGCGTGTGCCGAACGCGGCGCGGGGTATGCGGTGTATGTGGGAGGCGCGGGAGGTGCGCGTCTTACGTCCGCCAAAGGCGGCTTGAATGCCACTCTCGGCACATTGTGTGCCGGTGGCGCCGCCTGGCGGCGACGTGGCGCTGCACGCGGGCCCTGATTTGGGACGGCATACATGGGAAGGGAGGGGGGTGCGTTGTACGCAAATATTGGGGTGGGATCAGGTAGGAAGGGGATTGGGGTTGATGCCGTCACGGGCTCATCTCCGCGCCTCTTCTTGCCGCGTCTTCGGCGGCGGCGCTTTTTCGTAGCACCGGCGTCGGCGCCTCGTTGCGTCGGTTCGTTAGCCGGCGCCATTAGGTTGGCGCCAGCGGTTTCCTCGACCGTTATTACGGGAGGGGGAGCCTGGGCGACGTATGTACGAGGCGCCGCGGTGGGATTATTGCGCCGCCGTTGCTGCGCCTTGGGCGCCGTCGACGACGCAGTGGGGACGGGGGGACGGGGCTTGATTCCCCTCTGCCGGGCCTCTCTTTTATACACCGGGCACTTCCGGTCGTTGGCGGTGTGAGGTTTTGCGCAGTTGGCACATGTCGGCTTTTGGTCACGCGGCCTGTCGCAGTTCGCCGCCGGGTGCTCCCCACCACAGCGAACGCATTTTACAGGCCGGTGACAGTTGGCCGATGCATGGCCGAATGCCTGGCATCTGTGGCATTGTGGCAGCACCGATGCCGGCTTCCACGCCTCAACCACGACGCCCCGCATGTACAGGAGCTCGTCAGTCGCGTACAAGCGTGTGAGCTCGTCCCTGTCCATGGGGTCGAGTTGGGCGTGGAAAATGCAGCCGGGGCGGCCGCGACGCGCGGGTATGCCCCGCACTAGCCGCACTCCGAACCCCTTCTCCTGCAGTGCCTCCACTATCCTCTCATTGGGAGTGTCGGCGGGGAGGCCCCGTATCGCCACCTTGGTGGGCAGTTCGGAGGCCAGGCTATAAAAGTACCAACTTATTGTTGGGTCCTTTTCGCTGGCCTCTATCAAATACCTTTGGACGGCACGGAATTCTTCGTCCGTCCTAGGCAGGAATCTAACCCCAGTGCCGTAGGGTCTTGCGTTGGGTGCCTCCCCCAGTACGCGCCTGAGCTGGTCGAAGTGGCGCGTCCAGTTAGGGAGGCGTTCTACCACTATGGGGGGGTATTTGCCTCGCCCTGTGGCGGGTTCTACGCCAGTATCGGCGACTTTACCCTGTGAGGGCATTTGCGGGGCTGGAGCCGTGGTGGCGGGGGTTGGGGTGGCGGGGCCTGCCACTACTGCCGCAAAGGACGGCGGGGTTCGTCGTCGCGGCGAGGGGACGGGGGGGAGCATCGGCTCGGGCGATTGTGGCACCGATTCGAGTGCCGCATATGACGTGGCGTCATACTCGCCCCTATCTAGCGTATAGGAGCGAGGTAGCGGCGAGGGCACACGCGAGGGTGCTGGCGAAGGCTCAGGCGAGGTCGCAGGCGACGTATGTACGTCGCCGTAAAAACGCCTGTCTTCCCCTTCCTCCTCGCTCCCGCTATCCG